TCTTGGTGAGATGAAGGAACACCACAGTTCTCGTGTTGAAGGAGAGGCAGGAATTACAAAGGATTTTAGCCAGGACTAACCTCAAAGGGTGACTCCTGAGAAAGGCTGGAGGAGAACGCAGGTTTCTTGCCACACAGATACCTTTGGTTGAGCTGGAATGAGAGCTGCAGGCACTGACAGACCCTGGTTTCACCCCTCCACAGGATTCACAGTTCACACGAAGAATCCCTCTGCAGTAAGGAGCCGTCCTGGTGACACGTGTGGATTTACCTGCTGTGGAGGTGGGATTACACCCCCAAGTAAGGCCACGGTGGTAATTAGCCATACACTGATTGACTTGGACATCGTAGGGACTAAAATAAGAAGCAACCTGTACAAGTCCTCAGAAAAAGATGCCGGAATGTATCCTGAAGAACCAGTGACACGGTTTGTGTGGCAGCTGGAGGCAAAGCAGCGCCGAATTAGGCCATCCAGGCTGAGCAGGGCTAATTCAGGAGGGGTTATGGCAACTTCTCCCAGCTGCTTGCTGTGTAGTTATTTTATTTCCTTAGGTGGGGAAGCTCTGCAGAAAGATGATGCTGTGGTTGCAGCGCCTGACTGGTTCTGCTTTCACTTCCCGCATGGTCTGAGGCAAATTACTTCATGCCCCCTGTGTTTTTTGGCTGTTCCTCCAGTGCAAGATGTCTTTTCTCCCAAGAGACGTTGTGAAGCTTGAAGTCATCGCTTTTTAGTGACTTCCTCACGGGATGTGCTGTGAAAGTATTTGAAAGGAACTGAAAGTATTCCAGTACAGCGAGTCTCCTGAAACCCTAGTGCTGTACAAGTGTTATTTTAATTACTGTGTATGACTGAGCAATGAAAGGAACACTTTTAGGCCGCCCTTTGTAATAAATATTGAGCTCTAAAAGCTACATAATAAACCTCAAAGGAAGGGCGTTGTAAAGCTAGAGTAGCAAGAAACACGCAGGACGTTTAAACCAGATTTCTCTTCTAATCTGTGAGTGATAAATGACTCAATTAAGAAAAAGAGCAAAGGCAAAACGTTCCCATTAGCTAATGGGTCAGATTGTACCTCTGACACTCTCAGCCGTATGAAAGCAGGCTGCAAGTGGCAGGTTAAGAAAAGGTAAAAGTGATGGTGAAGTGCACTAAAGAGCTGGATTATCTCATTTGCAATGCTGGGCTGAAGGGAGACAGAAACTTTATTAGGAGTCTGATCCCAAAATTGCTGGCATCAACAGAAACTTCCCCCTGCTGCCCACAAAACCTCGTGGTGTGCAGCGAGCCTGGCTGGGAGCTGGGCTGCTGCTGGCCCTTCGGTCCCAGTACCTGCTTGTAGTGGCCACTGGTTGTCGGTACATTTACACTCTTACTGGAAAAACATTTGTGTCATCAATTATAAATAAGAAACGGAGCAACATTGGCAGGCGGCTGAGCTCGGAGCTGCCTTCTGCTGGCACAGCCAGCTCTGTCCGAGCCTAGTTTTTGGAGCCCTAATCACCGATTACTCCACTCTTCACTCCATTACTTCTCCAGTCTGCTGGAGAAATCACAATTAACCAGTGGTTAATTTAATCTCGATACCCAGATTAAATCCCTTGCTGCAGAGACCGGCAGTTTTTAACCTGGTGAGGAGTGAAGCCCTGCCAGCTTTGCCATGGGAGCCTCGTCTTGTTTCTCCTCTTCTCATAAATAGGGGTGAGAAGGTAAGCGGAACATGCTAGAGCAGGAAGAGGGGACAGATGGTGGATATTAAAAAGAGTCTTTCATTACAGCATTTGGAGAGAGGATCCTTTATGGAGATCATTTTTTAATTGTTGCTTTTTTCAGGGGAAAAAAAAATCCCAGTGCTCCCAAGCAGTTCCCAGCAGCAAAAGCCCTGGTGCCTGCGCACGGCTGACTCTAATGACCGCGACACAGAGGAAAAGAAAATGCTGTGCTTGTTAGAACTCCTCGGTTAAACTTCGGCTTCTGCAGAGAAGTGTTTCACAGAATCACAGAATCCCAGAACGTCAGGGATTGGAAGGGACCTCCAAAACTCATCCAGTCCAATCCCCCTGCCGGAGCAGGAACACCCAGATGAGGTTACACAGGAAGGCGTCCAGGCGGGTTTTGAATGTCTGCAGAGAAGGAGACTCCACAACCTCTCTGGGCAGCCTGGGCCAGGGCTCTGTCACCCTCACTGAGAAGAAGTTTCTTCTCCAATTTCAGTGGAACCTCCTGTGTTCCAGTTTGTGTCCGTTACCCCTTGTCTTATCATTGTTTGTCACCGAGAAGAGCCTGGCTCCATCCTCGTGACACTCACCCTTTAAATATTTATAGACATTAATGAGGTCTCCCCTCAGTCTCCTCTTCTGCAAACTAAAGAGCCCCAGCTCCCTCAGCCGCTCCTCATAAGGGAGATGCTCCACTCCCTTATGAGGAAAAAAACAAGTGTTTGTTTCCTTCCATCTGCTGCCTTTGCGAGGGAGGAAAACCGGCCTGCGCAGCCACCAGGAAGCTCTTCACCGTTTGAGCAGCTCGCTGTAAACGCAGAGACAACAACGTGCATAAATTACCATACCTAAAAATACCCAGATAACCCAGCGCTGGAGCAATTCCTAAGCACCGCAAGGCTGCGTAGAGCATGCGGATAGACGGGATGTGGGCAGGACGGGGCAGCTGCGGCGGCAGATGCACATGCCTGGCTCTCTTGCACCGTTGTCGGGTTTTTTTCCTCTTATCAAAACATGTTTTGCTTTTGCCGGGAGCTGCCGGCTGCCTCCCACGTCTTTGTGCGCCGTATCTGCCAAAGCCCCTTGCGTGGGGAGATCAAAGCCAGAGAGCCGCGGCGTTTGAATATAAACCCGATCCATCCTGACTTGGGGGCTGTGTGAGCAGCGTGGGAGGATGCTGTGAGGCTGCTCCCCGAATGCAGCAGCTCTCCGTGCCTCGGAGGGGACACGGCGCAGTGAAGAAGGCAGGGGATGGGTCATGGGTGTCCGCAGGGCGCTCTGATGGCAGATAAACCCACAAGTCACCCAGGGAGGGACACGGCGTTTGCCCTACAGCTCACGGCTATGGGGAGGCCACGGTGCCTCTTGCAATCAATTCCCATGCACTCTGTGCCTCCAGTATTTGCTTTTCAGAGCTCTCCCAGCCCTGGCCGTGTTTCCGTGGTAACACTGAGCGCTCTGATGTGGGTTCTGGGAGGTGCCGGTGCACTCCCCCTTCCCAGCCCTGCAGCGGTTTTGGCTTTGCACTGCAGTGACAGGGACGTGTTCTTCACCATAACTCCCATGTCAGCGTGCAGGTGTGCTCACCAGATTCCCTTCGTGCCACCGAAATACCTTCCTGCCTGCTGGCTGACAGAAACACATGGTGCTTCCAGTTGAGTTAGTCTCTGTGGCCTAAAGCTCTTCCCGTGTCTGACCACAACTGTCTGGATACAGCCCGTCACACCCATCAATCTCCATCCGATGCAAACCAAGCCAGGACTTCTCAGCATCCGCGATGGGGCAGCACCAGGAGCGCTCAGTCTAGCCAGGCCGTTTAAATTATTAAAATAAGGAGGAACTGCATGGGCTGGATCCTTGCAAAGCGATTTGTGTGTTATTCTAATGAAAGTGAAATCTGTCCAATGTGGAAATAAGAGTTCTGCATCTCAACAACGAACAAAGATTTTGCAAGGAGAGGTCGGGCAGGTTTCTGTCACAGTTTGGAGGCAGCTCCAGTGACAGAAGAGAGATCTTTTGGGGATACCACTGCTGTCAGGAGCAGCGCAAACACCCGCAGGTCACAGTCTGTTCACTGGAAGGGTCTCTGCCCCCACAGCCAGAGCCCAAACCACCCCAATGTGCCCTGAAGCGGGTCCACACTGAACGCCTCCAGTGCCAGAGCTGCTCAGCCCTGCCCAGGATGTGGCCGTGGCTTTGCTTTAGGGACCGTGGGTGGCTGCAGGACACCAGAGTGGCTGCAGGGCTGAGTCGGGCACATCCCTGCAGTGACAGGGATGCCCCAGGGGAAGCAAGAAGAAATAAGGACATTTAAAGATCTAATTGCCTTTTTGGCAATTGGTTCCCAAAAGCTTTGTCCAGGCATGAAGCCTGTTTCCAGTAACTTAGATTCAAAGAGTCACAGCGTGGTCGGGGTTGGCAGGGCCCTCTGGAGATCACCCAGTTCAACCCCTGCCAGAGCAGGATCACCAGAGCAGTCACACAGGAACACGGCCAGGGCTTTGGGTGTCTCCACACAAGGAGACTCCACAACCTCTCTGGGCAGCCTGGGCCATGCTCCATAACCCTCACAGTAAAGAAGTTTTTCCTGATGTTCAGGTTAAACCTCCTGTGTTCCAGTTTGTGACCACTGCCCCTCATCCTGTTGTTAGGCACAACCAAGCAGAGTCTGGTCCCATCCTCCTGTCTCATGACCTTGAGATATTTCGAAGCATTAATGACACCCCTCAGTCTCCTCAGGCTGAACAGCCCCAGCTCTCTCAGCCTTTCCTCCTATGGAGATGCTCCAGCCCCCTCATCATCTCAGTGGCTCCACACTGGACTCTCCCCAGTCGTTCCTTGTCCTTCTTGATCTGGGGAGCTCAGAATTGGACAGAGTCATTTGAACAAATCGCTATCAACCCAAGCACTTCATTACTGGGTGTATTTAACCATTTATTTGAATTCTAACCCTAAATTAGGACCCTACGATCACCGCAGGGGCCTGGGCCTCACTCGGAGCTGCCCGCGGAGATACCGAGGCGAACGACCGCCGTGAGGCGCCGGCCCCGGCGCGCA